TCTATGATGGATAAAGGATGTGAGAGAGAGCAAATGTCACCGTTATGAGCGAGTTTTATATGTATTTCAACAAAGAGCACGAGTTTAATGGTATTGTTACTTAAATGAGAGGGAAGAAGATCAAGATTAGCGCTTCCTACATTTGAAGAGTCCTTAATCTTCCAAACCCACCTAGAGGTATCTAAGATATGTTTGACTAATCTATGGGCTTTACAATAGGTTCTGATGGCTACAACCGGAAGGTGGAGTTTCTCCGTGATAAGTTACACTCCAGTGTCTTCACCTCGGGATATTTAAAGCTTGAGTTTATCCTCCTCAATCTCTTTCTCAAGTTTAATCTTTATTCCACTGTTGCCTATACCACACATATCATCCAGGATGTTGTCTTGCTATATTGGCTTGCCAGTGGTAAACCTTTTGATCCAGCTCAAGTTATATTTACTTAGATGTCTATGGTTGCCACTCCTGCTAGGGAGGTTGTTGCGAAGAAGACCAAATAGGAGACTCGGCTGGTTTATCTATTTCTCATCACTTGGATATATCAAGACCAGTCGATTTCCTTTTACACTAATAATATAAATGAAAATGGGAGAGCTACACTTTTGGCTAAGACTGCTAGGAAAAGCTTAGCTAGGAGGAAAGGTGACACTACTGTCGGGCAATCATAGCCTTCTGCTTCACAGGCCCTAGATTCTCCGAATCTTCTCAATGGACTCTGCGTCTCTAGGAGAGAGTATGGAGTTGATGATGAGAGATATGACATTGATGAGGGTGATATAATGTTGTAGCACACCTACTATGATGCATCACTACAATATATCATGGGAGCTCTTCATCAGTTAGATTCATCTCTCGGCACGCCATTAGTATATGGTGACTTCTTTACTGGAGCAACACAGCCTTCAGGAGCTCCTCATCCATTCCCTTCACATGATGCTAATGGAGGAGATGATCATGATGAGCAAATGCAGGGAGATGAAGGAGATGACAGAAAGATAGCATCTTAATCTCTGAAGGTTGAGTTTTCTTTATTCTTTTTAGATTTTCTTTTTATTTTGGACATGTATATTCTTTGGTGATGCTTGAGATACTTTGTCTATACTAAATCTTTATTTGCATTTCGGTTGTTAAATAATCAGCTTAGTTTCATATATCTCCATGCTCACCTTTCCTGTTGCATGCACATAATTTTCTTTTTTTTCCTTTATTTTTTCTTTATATTTTTTTCTTATATTTCTTGATTTTCTTAATTTTTCTTGATTTTTTTACTTTTCATTTTCCTTTTATGGTTGTTTTAAGGTTTTGTTTTCTCTTTTTCATTTTTTATCAAAAACAAAACAAAAAATTCTCTTTTTCTTTCATTTTCTTTGAAAAATAAATTAAAAAAACTTTGGACATGCTTATGTATATGCTTTTACAAGATTGATTCAGATGATATTATCATATGGTATATAGGCTTGATTACATCACACAGATTACATATGGTTTTCAAATTTATATTTATGTATTTTTTCACACCATGATAGAAATATGATTACTTGGCACATTATTTCACAAGATATTTCACGTTACAATTTCACACACCTAGTTTTATACTTATTATATTTTGTAATATGAAATAATGGTAAAACTTTTTATATTTTATTTATAAAATATTTTTGGAGTATTTCAAGAGTTTTTGGCCTTGTTTACTACTTGAATAATGCACACATTTATTCTTTATATGTATAAATGTGCATTTATGCAAGAACTTATGTCAAACAAAAGAGTGTATTCGTTAAAAGATGATAAAGGATCAACACTCTTATGAAATCCATGAAAATTTGAGTGTATTTGTTAAAAAATGGTCAAAGATCCACACTCGTGGATTATGTTTATGCATATCTCAAAGGGTAGCCATCTTATACTGAATGTTTTCATATTTAGAGATGGTGTGAACCGCCCACCAAATACTATCGTTCTTCCTCCTAAATCCTGTACGGTTGAGGTGATAGCGTGACACTTTGGTCATTAATTTCTAATATTGAGATAGTTCAAAATCTTATTATTGCTCAATATTCTCTTTGATAAATCTAAATTTTTCCAATAAACTAGTATAATTCTTTTTTACTATTTCTTTTACATACTTAACAATGATACTTAATCATGTTGTGTGTGATTTTTGATGTTATTTCTCTCGTATTCAAGTGGTTCATGATTAGATTTTAATCTATTGTACTATTTTTATATAAATTTTTTATGTGAACCAGTATGTAATTCTCTTCCTTACACCTTTAAATGATTTTTATTTAAATTTCCTGAGTATAAAGTGTAACCATTGGTGTGTTTTTTAACTTTTTCTAATAACAAAAGGGGGAGAATTTGTGTGAATTTTGAAAATTTAATGATCTTTGCATGAGTGGAGTTTTTGTCTAAGTGGTTTCATGATGTTTGATTTCTCAAAATTTTTTTAAACATTTGATGCACTGTTTTAGGGGGAGTTTTACAATACTTGTGCTTGATTACACTTTTCATGAAAGAATAAATGTAGAGGGAACATTGAAATTTTTTTTCTTTTATATGAGGGTGCATTTTGCTTATTGTTTCTATTTATGTATCTCAAATATGCATATATTTAGGTATTTTAAATATCAAGTTTGTTATTACCAAAAAGGGGAGATTGTTAGGATGTAGTCTATATAATAGATCTTATTTGATTAATAACAAACTCTCATTTGGTACTAATAATTGTTTGAGATGATATAGTACATGTGAATACAGGTATAAGACGTGTACGAGGCAAAACAAAATGAAAGTAAGCTCAACAGCGAATTTCAACCATCGAACCAAACGATGGTGCTCAAGGACCCATTGATGGTCATGAGAAACCATCGATTATAAAGTTGGATGATTATAGATTTGATGTTTTAAACACAGTCGTTCGTCATTCTTTTTTATCTCAAAACTCCACCACGTTCAGGGTATCTCTTTTGTGATCCATTGAAGGCTATATAATAGTGAAAGAGATAGAGAGAAGGTAGAGTTATAGGGTTTTAATTTGAGAAGAGATTTCATTGAAGATTTTGACACCTTGAGCTTCGACAAACTCTTTCTCATCATGCACAACATCGCTGGGTTATTTCAGCATGAAGAGTTGCCCTTAGATTCATCATCTATACAATTTTTCCTAGTGATATGCTTAGATTTATCGAATGACAATTTGTTTATTAAAATGATTGTAAGATCTTTCATATTTTCTACGTTTAATTGTGTTTCAAACTTATTTTTAGGGCATACCCAAGCTGGTGTTAACTGGTGGTTAAGATTAGCTAGGGCTAAATGTTTATTCATTGTAAAGAGCTATATTAGATGACTAGTTTCAGGTAGATTCCAAGCTGTAGTCTTTGTGAGACTACTGATTCAGGATGTGATTCAGGAGAACTCTTGACATAGTGAAGAAGCTCATTCATAAGAAGGAAGAATGAGGATATGATTGTTATCCGAACCACAAAAATCTTGTGTGTCCTTGATTGGTTGTTTTTCACTTTTATTTTATTTATTCTGCTACATATTTTGTGTTTTTTTAGCAACAAAGGTAGCAACCCTATTCATCCCCTTCCCTTTAGGCTTGTATCTCAGATCCAACAAATATAATGATATATAAAGTATACAAGGGTGAAATTGTCCAAAACATGTCACATGTGAAGCATATTGTCAAAATTGTTGGCGTTTATGGTAATTTAGAGAAAACGTTCATGATAGTTTTGGTTCATGGTAGTTTTGTGCAGAACATCTCAAAGTTTATGATTTGGCTTAGTGAAATTTACCTTCATTTTTTTCATGGTTGATCATAGTGTTGTTATGTACACAGGCAAAATTTCGATACATGTGTAGAGCCATTGGACTTTTGCATGGAGAAAACTAACGAGGCTGTAGTATTTGAGGGAGCATGTAGTTAACTATTTGAAATCCAACTTTATTACATACAGAGACTTCTAATTTCGAATCAGATGTTTTGGTCTTTTGTTCCTGCATTCAAGTTAGAGAGTTCATTCTATTACTTAGATCCTGAGATGTGTCGTCTTTGTAGCTTAAAGGAAAAAGGTACACATTTTCAAGAGGAAAGAAAACTTAACATGATTTCTTCAAAATTTGACGGGAAAAGGAATCAAGTTTCACTTCTCTTATATTGTAATTGAACTGCCAAGTGTTAAGAGTTAGATGAAAACTAGAAGTTTGGTAGTAACAATGTACGAGTAGTGTTCAAATCATGACTCGTTTACAAATACCAAATAGAAGGAAGAGCAAACAAAATTTTTTGGGGGTAACCTAGCATGTAATTCAACCCAAGACTATGAGAGCTACATTGGAACCTCCCAACCATCCAGGTCACCCTTGGTGGATGAAGTGCAAACAAATAGAAGCCGATATGCACTTGTTTTTAGAATAGGAGAAAGGGTATTACATAATGTACATGAAATTAGAAAAGGTAAAAAAGTAATAAAATTGAATGCATCAACTGTCTGGAGTACTGCATGTTATATGCCTTATCAATCACGAGCCAACATTTGTCACCTCATGACAGCTGGCCACGTACTAATAAAAGCGGTATTTTCGCTCCATTTGTAAAAATCCAAAAAAAACTCTAAAGGTATGGTTTCTACCATAATCAATTCTTACAAGTACAATAACCTAAATAGTAACAACAAAATGCATCACCTTCATATTCGAATCACCCTAGATAGTAAATTTTAAAAGTTTTGCTGATAATCCTCAAAAAGTTTGGAAATAGCACTTAACCTTAAAAAAAATTGCATTTATTTAAATCTATTTTCAAATAACCCCTAATTATTTGTGGGTTTATCTGAAAAAAGTTTCGAAGGTTACATGACATTTCCAAACCTTTTCGGGGGCTATATTTAATAGCTGAAACTTATTGAGGGGTATTATGACATTTACCAAGTTAGGAATAATAAAGGAAAGCTGTTAATAAGTAGCAAGGCTCCCGCTACCAAACAAAAATAAACCCCCTACGTCTCGAAACCCTATCATTTCTCCATCACGTCTCTTTGCTGCAGCAGCTGCAATGGGCTCAGATTTCGAGTCCATTCCCTTAATAGGTATCAAATCTCGATCTGAATCAATTATTTCTGCAATTTTCCTTTTCTTTTTCCTGAAATTTAATAGTACGATCTGAGGATCACAAATGAACATCTTTGTTAGATGATTGTGATCTTATGTGCTTCAGCTGATCTCAATTGGGTTATCTTTTGGCATCCTTCTCATTTAATTTGAACTGATTATAGCTGTAAATACTAGGGTTTGATGTTATTCAAGGTAAATTACAGAAACCCCTAATGTTTGCATGATTCCTAGAAATATTGTAATGAAACTTGTTAGTGACCTCTATGCCTATATAAGATGTGTACGATTATTATATTGAAATTTGATGACTGTATACATATAAAGATGGTTATTCGACTAAAAGTCGAAGTGGACCGTATAAAGTGTCACTTTTGAGACCTTAGGGGGATTCTGTGTTATTTCTATAACCGTAGAGCGATGTTTCTGTAATTTACCCTATTATTCAATCATGAAACATAATGAGGGAAGCATTAGACAAGGCATTAAATCACAATTTACAGTATTTATAAAAATGATGTTGAAGTTCAATGTGAGCCTTGTGCCCATAGACCCACTTCTGGTTATCTTTGTCTCTTCTTCCTTTATTACGCTAATTAGCCAAAGAATATAACTTGAAACATACATATAGTTGACATGTCTATACTGTTGTGTTCAATTGTAGGTTATCTAATCCCTAATAAAACTAGCATTATATGAGGCATAAAATTGGAACTTACACTATTCATCAAAAGACGGATGTTGGAATTCAGTGAAGGCCTAGCGTGTGTAAGCCCACTCATTCTAGAGCCTCTAGTTCATAGTTGTTGCGATCCTCCTTCCTCAACTGAGCTAAGTAGCCGAAAAGAAACTGAAGTGAAAAACAGATATTTCAAAGCTATATAGGCATTTTCAGGGACTATTTACATATCTTTGAATCATATGTTTCGGGTCACTATGAATATAAGTAGTTAAATACAAAAAGACTTATATTGTTATTATATATTTTTGGAGAAAAAAAAGGAAATAATTGATCTCGAACTTGATTGTACGTTGGTGGGTTTTTTTTTTCTTCTTGTGGCGAGATGAATGGAATTTTCAACTCTGATCTGGTTGAGGACATGTTACCTAAAACCAAAATAATAGCGGAAATTTTTATGTATTTGATGCATCAATTCCTTTCAGATGTTTATATAATATGTCCACCTTTCATATGTTTGTACAGTTGTACATCCCTTCAGACGTTTCTATCTAGTTTTCTACAAATCTTTCTATCTTTATATAATCAATTCATTTTCCATATGTTTCTATTTGATTTTTATATAATTTATTTTACCTTTATATAATATATCCAATTTTCATATGTTTGACCTCCTTTCAGATGTTTCTATCTGTTTTTCTATAAATCTGCATAATTGGTTCATTTTTTATATGTTGTTATCTGATATTTATATAATTTATTTTACCTTTAGATAATATATCCACTTTTCATATGAATGCATATCTCTATCATATGTTTCTATCTAGCTTCTACGTATTTGTCTACCTTTCATAAAAACAGATAAATTAGTAGTTCAAAAAATAAACATGTTTAAAAAATTGAGAGAGATTGAAGAAGATT